GACTAATTCATTTTATTTTTCTTTATAGTTTATACTTTTTACAGTTACTTTAGTTTCATTTATAATTTATCCTTCATACCAGTAATTAAAATTCATGGGTTCATCCCTGAGAGCAAGGGTCTGCTGTACCAGCTTCCACTATTGCTCACCTTCCCCATATAACGGCTCATTTTCCAAGGTCCTAAAATTGTCAGTTCTCCCTGACCCTATCAGAGAATGCCTTACATACTTCTATTGCAGTATCTGCCAGACCTACTTTACACATTTTCAGACACATTTTGTACAATATTATCTTCATGTTTTCTGTGCTGTTCCTTTTGTCTCTTTTGAGTGTGGGTACTTACAAGTCTTACGTTCTATGGGCTTTCAATTTTTACCTTAGTTTAACTTCTTCCAGCATTTGTCATTCTTTTTTTCCCCCCTATCATTGCTTATATATTTAATGTTTCATGTTTCCCTTTATTTGGTGTTCTGTTTACATTTTGGGTTTGATAAGGGATACCTCCTCTTTCTTCCCTCCATGTTGGAGTTTTTGCCATCTTCAGTTCATTCCCTCCTCACATGGCTTCTTTACTTTTGGGTTAGTATCAGGTGTGACACCACTGTTTGTTTTCCTTTCCATTATTAGTAGGGTTTTATGGTCTGTTCCTTTTCTTCTTTTCTCCCTTTTTTTTTGGAGGTGTTGGCTCCTGTTGGTGGCACCAGTTTGCACTTCCTCTCTTATCACATATTAGTTCTGTTCTTTTTGGCCCCCGTGCACAATATTCATATCCTTGCATGTCATGTTCCAGGTGCTCTCGCTTGGATCACAGTTAGTTTTCCCATCCAAACACATTCTATCCAATCTCTCGATTCTCTTGTTTTCTGGTGGCTTTGTCTTCCATTGGATTCTCTCCACATAGATCCCTTTACTACATCTCTTAACTGCCCATTATCTCTATTTGGTGTCTGGTACCTCCTCCTCTAGCTAGGGTTGATGATGCTTTTGGGCCAGGATTGGTCCAATAGGTTCTTGTATGTTCATCTCCCCCATCCTCTTACTTCCATGGGTGATTCCCTCATCCCTACCATTCTATGTTAAGTCCTTCTTATTGCTCCTTAATGACCAGCTCAACTGTCATTTCCGTGACTTCTCCAGCTCCAATTTTTACCTCCACTGCCTCTTCCTTTGTCTCCTGCCCTTCTTTGTCCACTTCATTTGCTCAGTACTCCATCCAGACATTCACATGTTCATATTCATGCTTGGCTCTTATTCAGTCCTTGGTGGGGAGGTCGGATTTATACCTGCAGGTAGCTTTCTTTTAGCTTGTTCCATTCGCTCTTCTTCAGTGGGCATTTATTGATGTAAATGGAAAGTGTTCTGCAGTTAATCTATGAGTCAAGGATTTCCTGCAGATCAAACCCCTGTGTCTCGGGTGGCAGAGTTTCTCCCCTGGTCTTTTGACCATGGGTCTTTGGTCCCTTCGATCTAGGGTTATCAGGCAGCCTTGTCTCATACCTTCGTTTTTTTTCCTGATACCACATAGTTTTTACCTCACCTATCCTTACTATGTTCATACGTTCCTTCTGGATTATTCATCTTCTCTGACTGCTTATCATTCCGATCTGGGATGCTAAAGTGATTTTTTATTCCCTCACTTTACCTTCATTTGCATCACTTTCCTCGTGTTCCATATTTAATCTTCCCTTCAAACATAATTTATTCTCCATTATGCCTGTGTACGTCAGAGGTCAGATTTGTTTCCAATGATATTTCTTGTACATTTTTCCCACTCTTTTTCTTTGCTTTGTCTGGACCTTTCCTTACTACCAAAGACATCAGCAGCTAGGGGAGGTAACTTCTCCTTTTGCTTAATTCCCTTCCTTTCATTTATCATCTTTATCCTCGTCCCAATCTGGATTGCCTCCTATGTATGGTCTGTGCTCTTCATTGTTCTATTGCCAATATGGCTTCTTTCCTTGGTGCCCGCTCCTGCCACTTTAATCCTAGGCAGTTTTCCTTGAGTCAAGATTTTTCTCCTTCTGTCCTCACCAATTGTGTTTGGCATTTTACTTCATTGGCTTACTCCCCTTTGTCATCTTCCTCCGGACTTTGTTTCTGGTGTCTTCTCATCAGATTTGATATCCTTACTTTTTCCCTGATATCTCATCTTTGTCGACAATTGGGGGAACTCCTACATACGGGCATGAGGACTACACCTAATACGTTCATCTCTCCTTATCTACACCACATCGTGGTTACTTCCTCGTCAGGTTATCGTCTACTACCTGTGCCCATTTTTCATACCTTGGTGCAACTCCAACTGGGTAAGTTTCTATTCATTATTTCTTTCTTTTCAGAGGCCCTTGCTTCATTATTCACTATTTTGATCGTGCTTTGTGGTGAGTGGTGCCTGACCAGGTATTCTTTAATCTTAAATTTGCACTGTAGGCCATGTTTATTGGCATTTTCTTTTCTATTGGCTTCTCACACTCACCTTTGAGATGAGGTGTTTCACAAGATTGCTTGTAGGTGAATAAACTTGCAACATTTGCTTCATAAATTGGCCCATTTTAGACCATACCACCCATGGACTTCATGGGTAAAGCAGAAGGGGATAGCTTCCCATCCTTGCCATGCCTCAATTGAATAAATTGATATGGTCTGCTTTTCAAAATAGGGTTTTGTGATCACCCATTGCACTGCCTCCAGGCTCTCCTAACACATTCTCAGCCCCCCTTTTCTTCTAGTGAAGTATGGAAGTCCTTACCACTTACCAGTTCCAAGCCACTGGGGTGGTCAACCATGGAGGCACCCTGCTGGATGGGTTCCACATAAGATGGCTATAACCATTCAGTTCAGAGTAGGGTTGTGGTGTTCTGCCAGTGTAGATGACATAATATCCTCTGATTTGCAATTAACTATACAGCAGAGTGAGACGTCAAAATGCACTTCACCCCTTCAATTGGAAACCCTCATCCTACCCTCACGTGGATGTCAGTACCCCGCAGACTGGTTTTGGATTTTGAGCAAACCAATCAACATAATTCCTCACACAGGTTTTTATTTTTTTTTATTCCTGTAAACTCCCAGTGGAGCATAGGGCTGCAACAACACCTTGCCAATGGAAGGTG